CACACACACACACACACACACACACACACACACACAAACACACACACACACACACTCACAAAAAAAATCAAACAAAAAGTTATCTGCACAACTTTCTCTCGTTACAGGTTTACGTTTCCATCTTTTATTGTGAGCAGTTTTCTTTTCATAAGCGTCAAAAATACCCCATACTCATTTAGTTTTCTGTTTTATTCTTCCCTTTCTTCCCTGTTCCCCTTCCCTTTTTATAGAATGATATGACTGCAGGGAAAGATTAAAGTCTGAAGAAGTTAAAAAAATATTAGACAGACCCAAAGAGTGGACAGAACAAAAAGAGGAAGAGAAACGGTTAAACTTTGGAAAACAGCAGCAAATCTGTGTTTAATAGCCTGAAACCGACATTTTGCGTTTTACTTTTTGACTAATATGTGCTGACACAGAACTTTTGATACTTTTCTTTTTGAGCTTAGCCCAAATTGTGACATTTAGGTGTCCTAAATTAAGAAAATAGTGAGTACAGAAAAGAACCAGTTCAATTATAATGGTTTTGTTCTTTATTATTAGCATTAAATTGCTAACTTTTAAAAGAAAATCTAGAAAACCAGCATTAGAAAYGTTCACGTTTTTCCCTATTAGGTCTGAATCATCAGTGATAGAAATATATTTTAATTGCCACCCTCTGACCTATGTTGTTTACAGTGACAGATTGCCTAAAAGCAATGGAAAWTTTTCAATCAAACCAATGACCCACATCCAGCAAAAACATTGTCTACCATCTGTCTGAGCGTCCTGCTGGAACAATGCAGCTCCTATAGACATCCTGTGACCTTTGTCCCCAGATATCTCTCACCTACAGCCTAATCAGGAAGTAAATCATGGATTTATGCTGTTGGTTGGAAATAGTCCACAATATATTAGAATATTTGACCTTTTATACGTAGGTGTGTGTGGAGTTTCAACTTTAAGATGTTCACTCTGGCTTCAAACTCAAAGCGTAAAAAGAAGATTTTGCTTCCCAAGTACCCTCCGTATTTCTGTTTCAAGCCGTTCTCCATGTTGAAAGCTCAGCGCTGAAACAAAAACACAAGTTTAATTTGCTGGAGCTATCCTGAGCAAGGCTAAGTCAACACAGTGACTGTTGTGACGGCCTCCAAGATTTACTCCCAAAACCCTGGAGGAAAAACATTTGGATGTTTACTTAAAAAAAATAAATATTCGGTACAGCACTTCCTTATAAATCACTTTAATACTCCTCCTTTTCTTTGATTTGTGTTGACATCAGGAGAGCACAGCCTGGCATTTGTTAAAGAACATTCTAGACGTACATTCAGCTTTGACAGTAACAAGTCTCTGCTTCGCTCGAAAAGAAAATATCTTGGTCAGTTAATCTTTACTTTATGCTGATTAGCAGAACACTTAAAAAAACACCTGGTTTTTTTCAGTGTTTGTCTTGAACATTTGTTAACATGTGGTAATCTTGGTAAAAAAAAAAAAAAAAACAAAGCACATGCTGAAAGGTGTAAAATCTATCAGTGGTCTGACCCTGTTAGTGGTGCTGTGATGCTCCCAGTTTGCCAGCCACACATTCAGCCGAGACGCTCAGAACGTGACGGACGTGTTACGGCAGGAGAACAGAAGGACGAAGGGGAGAGGTGGTGGGGGGGGGGCGTTGTTTGCGTTGTACCGTTGTGGAGATGTGAGTCCTGCAACGGGCTCAAACATAGGCCTGACGCTCTCAGTCAAACAAATTGATCCCAGTCTGTGACCTTTGGACTCTAGCCTTGTTAACCCCCCCGCCCCCCACTTCAACACCAGCACACAGCTCCAAGCAGATGGAATGGTTCAGCTACATTTGTCAATCAAGCCCCACCCCCAATTTCATAACAATTTTTTTCATTTTTCACCTTCTTTCCCCCTGATTTTATGCCCTCAAGCAACATAAAATAGATGTTCATTGTTTTTCCTGTAAATTAAACCGTATATTCGAGTGGAAGGAAAAGAAAAACCTGAGGCGACGCATCAATTATCTGCCCCAAAAACCTGAACCAGCATTAAATCATCCAAGGTATTAAAAATCCTGCATCTTCATCCTCCATTTGAAGACAAACTATTGATACCACCAAGAATAGGACAAGAGTGGGTTTAGTTAGTGTGTCAGCTGTTGGGGGGCATCTTGTGCACCAGAGGACAATAACTCAACTGTAAAAGTGATTTGGCCAGAAGGCAAAAGTCCAGACAGGGAGATTTGTCTGTGAAGGGGATTTTATGAAGCTGTTGACGAGGTATCAAAGCCACCGAGGCTGATGAACTGGCTTTAAAGCAGGTCGATGATAAAATGGGGGGGAGGACACGTTGCTAAAAACAAACATACATTTCTATATATTTGTTGGTTTTGCTGCATTTACTCCCTTATACATCACGTCACGTTTGACAGGAAATGAACCCACAGCTAAGAGCAGTAAAAGGTCTTCATTTCTTTCTAAAGACTTTTATCTCGTCTTCTCTTCATCCTATTATTTATATTAATGTTTTGTTTTTAAATCTTGATCAAGAACAGAATTGAGATCATGTTGTGTTTGTTCGAACCCCATGAGGCGAGCTTGGTAATTATATATATTAGTATATACTGCCTCTTAGTGGACTTTGAATGAACTGCAAAGCAGTTTTACATTAAAAGAAACTGTTTTCCAATTCCTATTATGAACACTGGATGTCAGCATTAAATGTTTGAGAAGCTTTTTGTTATATTAGATTTAAAAGACAAAAACTTAAAAACTAAGAAGTGTTCTGAGATCCAGTCAGCAATCTGACGCAGTTTATAATTTATTAAAAGRTATCTGGAATACTGGAGAAAACACATTTACAGATCTGCACCAGAATGTTTGAATTTATAAATGAGGACTTGCAGAAGCATGGGAGAATTTCAACCGCAGGGTCAAAGGTCAGTCAGTTTCCAGGAGCTAATTGTCACCCTTACATTATGACTGGGAAGCAAACACTGTAAAAGAGCAGCTGTCACCTCTGACCCCTCTTCCTAAAGTTTCCTCTTCCTGTCATTGATCCCTCGGGTTCCTCTGATGTTTGAGCCCGGCTGTTAAATTTCCCTTCCAGATAATAGAATTTTAGGAGTCATTACTCCGCTTTTTTAGAGCGGGTGTGTGAAACCTTTCCATGCATAAAGCCCCCCTGAAACAAATCATTCAAGTCCACTTTGCATGGTAGGGTGTGGGTTAAAGACTGGTTTACTCCAGGATATTTTAGCTTCCCAACCATTTGGATTCTTCTCAGACTGCAGTCCTGACAGGTAAGTACAGCTCCTTCATGATTTTAGGATTTCTGCACATGGAACAAATGTTAACGATAAAATACGTGCATTTCTGTCTTATTATAAATTTGCACAGTGGTAAATAATTAAGTGTTGATCCTGAACTTTAACATAAAGTGACTGAAATGTAAGTTAGAAAGAAATAAACCAATAAGATATAATAGAGGTCAATAAAAAGGTGAATTTTTTTACTGCTGATACTGTAGCTTTAGATAACATCAAACTAATATCCTCAATAACTTTTTAGGCATCATTAGTTGAATATTAATGTAAGAAGTTGTTTATTTGTTCTCCACAGATCATTCCGACTGCAGATAAAATGCTGAACATGCTTAAATTCCTGCTGATGTTCTTCATCGTTTCAGGACTWTCACATGTCCTGCAGCCTAGTAAGTATCAGATTATAAACAACGTAGTCTTTAGGGAGGATCTAATGATAATCACAAATCTTTAAACTGATCAAAAACTAAAACTTGTGCAGGTAAAGCTCTGTAAAAGGAAATAYGCACTTTAATTAGCACCAAAAAGAGTTTTTCTTCATTACAGATCACTGCAGTAATCTTTAGACAAAGCCCARTTATTAAATCTTTGGTGTGTTTTGCTTTGGGGTCTATCTGCAGCATCAACAGGACCAACTATAACAAAGAGAGAAGAGCAACAACCTTCACAGATAAAGCCAGAAGAGCAAACTACAATTGAAAATCTGAGTCGAAATCATGACTATGCAGGCACAATAGAAGAGACGTTTCCTATGAGTACTGTCTTAGAAAACATAAAAAATGAGAAATCCTTCCTGACAGAATTTGACACGATAGATAAAGAGGTTGTGAAATCAAAGAAAAAATATCCAACGGAAAGACCGAGGCAGGAAATAGTAGAAGAAGAGAGAAAAAAACTGGTTTCAGGCAAGGAGGCAAAGGAGAACACTCATGAGGATAAAAAGATGTCCGCAAAAGGAGAAACGACAAAACAGGACATGAAGCTCGCATCATTTGATCATCTAGAGACCCCTGCTACAATCCAGCATATCACCCCTCGTCCATTTCATCATCAAAGGGTTCTTCAAACGTCTTCCAACGTATCAACAAAAATCTCAGAGTCAAATCAGCTGAGAGACATGAAAGCGATGTTTGGACTCGTTTCAGAGGACGGGAATGTTTTGGTGAAACCAGACAGAACAAAGATACAAACACACACAACAGAGCCCACCAGGAAACCGTACAGGGCTGACGAAGGTGAACCCAACTCTGTTRAACAGCTGGAAAAAGACGCMGTTTATACAAAGAGTCACACCAGAMCRCCTCATCTACCACAAGTTACCAAAACATCGAGCAAACCACAACTCAMGTCCGCCATGCCTTCAGCGAAGCCAACTAAAACTAATAAAAGAAGGAAGAAAACATTAAAGTCTCCAAAAGAGAAGAAGAAAACCCCCACGCCTACGTCTTTCCCTTACTTTAAGGATGATTACTGTCCACCTGAATGTGCCTGCTATGGAAGGTAATAGGTAATAGTATTGTAAAAGAAATAATAGATGTCTYGAGGTCAGGAGCATTAACTTAATCTTTTGTTTTTCAGAGTTGTTCAGTGTTCTGATAAAGGTGTCAGCCACGTTCCATACGGGATCCCCTACAACGCCCGTTACATCCTCCTGATGAACAACCACATCACCAGCATCCAGCTGGACTTGCTCAGTGGCTACGAGTCCATGGAGTTCCTCACGCTCAGCAACAACTGGCTCACAGATGGATCCATAGAAGGAGCTTTGGAGGGGGTCTCGGCTCTGAAGCGGCTCTACTTAGATAGGAATCTCCTCCGAAGTGTGCCGGTCGACCTTCCGGGTTCCCTGGAGGAGCTTCGCCTGGACAACAACCACCTGAGGTTGATGTCAGAGACAGCCTGGACCCATTGTCCTGGTCTTTTGGTTTTGAGCCTCAGCAACAACAGTCTTGGGAGTGGAGCAGGATCTCTTCCTGRCGGTGTTTTGTTTCCTCTGTCCAAGCTGCGCACTCTGAACCTGGACTACAACCTGCTGGCCTCAGTTCCTCTGGGGTTACCGCCGTCCATCAGGGAGTTGTATCTCAGAGGGAACCGCGTTAAACGGTTCTTTGGAGGGGTTTTCGACGGACCATCAGAGCTGGCGGTTCTCGATCTGAGCTCGAACAGGCTGACGAACAAAGGCCTCTCTGAGGACTCCCTCCTCAACGCAACACACCTGGAGAGCCTCAACCTGGAAGGGAACAGACTGAAACAAGTCCCGCAACACCTGCCCGCTTCACTGAAAACATTAAATCTGGAGCGAAATCGCATCGTCTCCATAAAACAATCAACTTTCAGCGCTTTGAAAAACCTGGAGCACCTGGGACTGGCGCGGAATAAGATCTTCAAAATAGCCCCAGGTGCGTTTAAGGCCTTGCCCATCCTGCACCAGTTAGACTTGTGCCACAACACTTTGCAGCAGGTGCCCAGGCGGCTGCCGACAGGTCTGAGCTCCGTGGCGCTCACCCACAACCGGATTAGGGCGGTGCCTCGGGATGCTTTCTGCTGGGGTGAGAAAAGTCTCAGCGGGCTTGTGCGAGTGCAGCTGCAGYACAATTTCATCGACACGGGGAAGTTAGATTTACAGGCTTTTAGGTGCTTAAGAGGATTTCAGGTGGTGCACTTCTACTGAAGTGAGGGGTAAACTGCTCGGGTCCACGATATATTTAGAACCTTTTGTAGGAAACTCCACCCAGACCTGCGGTGAACGCTGCACTGGCAGAGCCTGATGCTGGATATGACTCCAAATATTTATTACTAAGTGTTAAATCTCACACTCTGACTAGCTTTATGACAAACTGTTTTTGTGGCTTGGATTTGACTGGAACAGTSTAAACCAAAGACAAGCAAATTCTGAGAACTGTTAATATTTTTATATTAGTTACCATTTCCAAAACACGCTGTATTAAAGGAGTTTTTGCCAGTCAGAGGTAACAGTATACAATAAAGACTTTAGAGATACAAGTTAATAGTGCTCACAACTAGACTGACCATCAATACAAAGTTAATATTTTCAGTACATGTTTAAATAAATACGTCACACATATTAAATTGAGTTCAATATGAAAAATCTTTGTTTTATTAAATAAATCTGAAAATGGACAAAATTGTGTTTGCAAGTGCTGGTAAACATAATGTCAGATTTAATAAGTTTTCTTAAACACATCTGTACATTTACTGACTTCATAAGTTGGTTTTGGGTGAGATAAAAAAGTGGTTGTGTGTGAAATATTAAATAACAGATAGGTCTGTTTAGACATCTGTAACAAGACACCTGTAGCCCTGAAACACCCAAGTCTCTTTAAAAATTAATTCAATTTAAAGTTGTTCTGGAAAGCTTTGGAGTAAAACAATAGTAWTTTTTGGAGTGCTGGTTATCCCATTTTTTTGATCCTTCAGAACTAGGCACCCATTTACTCTCTTTCCGATTTTATAAGGAAATATGGGTTGTGCGCACTAAAAAAATCTTATTTTATGTAAATGTAACAATCTGAATATTTAACTTATTGTAACTGTAACTAGTGTGTAGTTCAGGAAGGGCAACTGGCGACATATGGGCCACATACAGACGACTTCTATCAGGTCCTCCAATGAGCCCTCCCCCCTAATTTTTTTCTTTTAAAATAAGTATTGAACACGTCACCATTTTTCTCAGTAAATATATTACTAGAGGTGCTAATGACATGAAATTTTCACCAGATGTTGGTAACAAC